GTGAATTTTTCGACAACTACAAAAAAATGTTGAGTTCCATGGATGGTGCTGATCATTTGTTCGAAGTTTCTGCGCGCGGTCAACTCGAGTATTGGGAATGTGAAGGCGATCAGCAACTCAATTGGAAAGATAAAGGTTTCCGCAGTTTATTGCGGCTACTCATGCAAGCGCGGAAAGACGATGCAGCTGACTTGGGCATACTTGGCGATCGCATACGGTATAACTCACGCGTGCAAAATATCGCGTGGAGGGAAGTAAATGGCGACATACGCATACGAATTTGGAATGGTGAACTGATCGAAGCTGATCATGTCATCTGCACTGCATCGCTGGGCGTGCTGAAGGAAACCCATCAGCAAATGTTTACGCCAGCGCTGCCGCCTGCCAAATGTCGCGCTATTGATGGACTCAAGTTGGGCACAGTCGATAAATTTTTCATGGAATTTGAAGAACCTTTTGAGCAAAGCGATTGGCCTGGCTTTTGCTTCCTTTGGCGCGATGAGGATTTGTCAGAGCTACGCAACTCTGTGAACTTTTGGTTGGAGGGCGTAATCGGCTTTTTTCGCGTTACTTGTCAGCCACGTTTGCTTCAAGGCTGGATAATCGGTTCGCATGCACGTCACATGGAAACGCTAACTCAATCGGAGATTCTCAATGCTCTGCAGTGGCTTTTTGAAAAGTTTCTTACTTTCGAAATGCCAAAGCCAGTGAAATTTTTGCGCACACAATGGTTTAGTAATCCCAATTTTCGCGGCAGCTATTCATTTCGTTCGATGTATACCGAAGAGCTAAGCACAGGTAGCACGGATTTGGCTATGCCGCTGACGGATGAAAGAAGTGAAAAACCATTGCTGCAATTCGCCGGTGAGGCGACGCACTCAAACTATTATTCGACGGTGCATGGCGCGGTAGAGAGTGGTTGGCGGGAGGCGAAACGCTTAACCGACTATTATCTGGGAGAAGTGGTGGCGAATCTTGAGATAGGCTGAAGTGGTTGTACATATGTATGTAGATATTAGTTAGCGATACTGTGGTAATGGTGGAGGTAGAAGAAATGATTTACTTATCAGCTGTTGAGAGCATTTGAGCGACTCTGCCTTATTGTTGTACTATACTAATTACTTGATTAAATTTTTTGTTGTATACATATATTATGTAACTGTTGGTGTTGGGTATTGAACCAATTCTTTATCTTTATAGACTCACTAGTTGATACACAGGACGGCTAGCCACATTCTACTTCCAGTTTAAGAAAAAAATTACTAAACTAGACTGCGGATGTTTATGCAGAAAACAAAGCCTTAAATATGTACCGCTTAACTATAAGAAAAGTGTATCAATTTGTATACATTTTGTTTATATAGTTATGTGGTACATTAGGGCTGGGACTATCCGCATATTCGAATATCCGGATATCCATGCGGATTATGCGTTGACACGAATAAAATGCGGATAGTATGGATATCCGGTTAATATTCGTTTGTGCAATTATTCGGATATCCGGACATACGAAGATCCGGTTAGTATTCGTATTTTCGGATATCCAGAAAAAAAAAAAACAACAAACTCACTAACAATATTCGTGAATTCAATTATGCACACGATAGAGTGAAATAGCCCTTGCCGGACTTGAAGTTGGCCCTTTGTTTTGTATCGTTTTGTCACAATATAAACAAGTGGGACTATTCTTGTCATCACTTTTTTGGAAATGCTATAATTTGATAAGGAATTCACCACGACCAAAAGTATCTAACAGCTTTCATTATTCCGTCCATGATATTTTAAAGCCATGAAAAAACTCTCGCGGTCAATTTTATATATTTTTTTTTTATTTTTACGAAATGATAGTTTAATTTCCCAATACCAGGCGCTCATGCATATGAAGTAGCAAGTTTTCTAAATTTGTTTTTTGAACTTTTTAATTTATTTATAGAAGCCTTTGATTTTGGAAATTAAAAAATTTATAAAAAACAATTTTGTGCGTAGAGATAGAAAATTTGTTACTATACATTTATGAGCGCCTGCTATTAAGAAAAGAAAATACCGAATATTATGCTAGCTTCCAGAGTAACCGGATTTTTCATTTAGGTATCCGGATATTCGAATATTCGGTTTAACCGGATAGTTGAAAAATCCGGATGAAGTTCCCAGTCCTATGGTACATACATATGTAGATTTAGGCCCACTTGCAGAATATCCAGAGTTAAATATATAAATAGATAAAGAGCTATTCTACGCAAGATCAATGGCTCTCTTTGCTTGGGAGACGGATATTAAAGGTGGAAAGGCGAAGTGGACGAGCTTTTGTCGATATGGAAATTATTAGGAGAATCAAGACAAAACGATTGCGCTATCTTGTACGTATCGTACGCTTAGATGGCGACGATCCAGTGAAAGGAACCTTCGATACAGCACCAAAGGGTGAAAAACTTTTACGCAGGTTTCTGAAAAAAAAACTCCCACCTAAACTCCGATTTTTAGAGATATTTTCCATACGGTCGAGCTCATGAATAACACTAAATTGAGACAAAATATTTTTTGCTTTAAGCAGTGACTATTTTTTGCTTGAGGCATCCTAATGTACTATACGAGTGCACTTTCTGCCATACTCCAGTTTCATGCTTGATTGCTGTTTAACATACATAATATCGAAATGATTGCTTCTTCCTTCTCTTCTGTTCAATTTCCCCTTCAGTTTTTGCTTGGCATTTTTTTGTATGTTCGGTATTCGTACCACTTTTACTTCAGAAATTTGCTGTGTTGATGTTCACTTTTTAGCCATTATTAGCAACGATAAACATTTTATGGCAGTTTAATTAACTTCATTTCTGTGCGGGTGTAAGATTCGCGTGCAATATGTGGCAATTTATTTATGTGTTGACGTTGAGTTATGCACTTGTGTGGCAGTATGTGCATGAGTTTGTGTATGTATGTATGAATGTATGAGCATATCAGCTGATAATGTCTAATTTATATATTTTTGACGTGCTAAATTTATAAAGTGTCAATTAATGAAGCTGTTTACATATCCTTCTTCTAACTGGGTAATTAAAAATGGCAGATGGCAGCATGGACTTATTTTTTCAAGAAAATCAAAAATAATGTAATAAAGCCAATATTGTACTTCTAATGGTGAAAAATTATTTATACGAATTAAGTAATCGAGTGCACTTAAACTAAAAAATGAGTTTTAATGGCATTGATATTAGGCACAAGTTATTGCAAGGCACTGTGAAAACTTGCACTAACTTAAAATATGTTAAATGGCGCGGACTCTTCTCCGAAGGAAGACCCCTCGATTATATGGATTCTGTATCGGCAAAATGAGCGGGCTGCCTATCAAATTAAAAAACATAGCAGATCTGAGAGTTTGGCAAGTTTAATGTGAAGAAGCGTTACACTGCTTTAGTGGAATTTTGTGCCAAAATAAAATTAACTTGCACCGCTTCAGAGCCAAAGGGCCAGTTGCTCAATGTTTGGTAACACCAGCTGCAGGTTTAACATCGTAATCGATATGAACGCGTCCATAACACATAACAGCGAATTGATAACGATGTTAACCTGTAGTTAGTGTTAACTAGACATTGAGTAACTGGCCCTAAATGCGGAACAGAACTCATAACATAAACATCATGGACAACTGCAAATATGGCCCCAGTCTGTGTAAGGAAGATAATAAAACATCTGCTTCACTTCTTTTCTTCAGATTTTGTCCCATCATATTAAGCGTTTATTTTTGAGTTAAATGCTTTATTATTCTCTGTTATTTTACAAAAAACATACAAATACTCCAAAGGCGCCTTAAAATAAAATAAAAATACATAAAAAACCCGGAAAACCGTGAAATTTCACGACAAAGGCACAAAAGAAAGTTCGAAAACTTAAAAAAAAATATCAAAAGGTCGGGAAAACTGTCTGAAAAGCACGAAAAATACATCTGAATGGTCCCAAAATAAATCTCGAAAAAAATCACGAAAAATTCTAAATATCCTTAAAATGAAACGCAAATATTCCAAAATATTTCTGTACGCTTCCGAAAATATCCCAAGAAATTTCCGAAAATTTGGGAAGAATCAGGAAGCATGAAAGATCTCGTAAGAAATCTCTAACGTTTTTGAAAAATAAAGCACGAAGAGTCCCGAAATTAGTCTCAGTGGTCCCCAAGAACATGGAAAAGCATGAAAGACTGCGAAAATATCCTGAACGATCACAAAGAAATCCGGAAAAATGCCCCAATGGGTCATCTAAAAAAATTTAAAATTAAGAAGCCTATTCAAATTCCAGACGGTTCCGACAAACTTTCGAGGAAACCGCGAAATGTTTGATGAAAAATCGTGAAGGACACAAAAACGCGAAAATAATTGCAAAGTTTTTGAAAAATAAATCATTAACAGGGCAATTTTGGCTAAGATATTTGCAAGTCTTTTGTCAGGCAAATGAAAGGCAGTAGGCATGTTAGTTTCAATGATTTTGTTTATTCTGGCACGAAAGTCTTACAAAGAAAGCTCCTTTGCCAACTTTTATGGTGGAAAGCTCTTTTGACAGAAAGCATTTGAGCATGTTCCGAATGGCGATGTTTATCATTTTGCTGGGGCTGCTGCAACAGTCGCAACAGCCGAGTGCAGAAAACACTGGTGTGCCATTCAGGAGATCCGAAGTTCGAAGTTTCTTTTAAGTTCTAGATTTTATTGTTAAACTAAATATATTTTTAATTTCATTCATTTTTTTCCTTTTCTTTAGTACAATTTTATTGAATTATATTTTCCTTTAATTAAGATTTTATTGTTCCAACAAGGGTAATAGGTTTTAATTTCGTTTATTTTTTAGAAACTTATTTTATGTGTTTTTCTCCTTACTTTAGTTTTTTTTTTTTAAATTTAACTTTTAGATTTGATAGTTAAAAAACACACAAATTTTTAATATAATTTGTTTTTAAAAACTGATTTTATGTATTTTTTTCTTTTTTAATTTAAAAATTCTTTTAATTGTTAGACTTTATTGTTTTAAAAGGCGCAGTATTTTTGAATTTCCGTTAATCTTATTTTTATTTTTTTTATTTTTATTTAAAAATACTGTTATTTAAAAAAAAAAATATCCAACAATTAAAAGAATTTTTAAATTACAAAAAGAAAAAAATACATAAAATAATATATAATAAAAATAAAAAAAAAATTTTAAATTTAACTTTCTCTTAATTTTTAGTTTTTAAACAGTTATGGCTTGAATACAAGCAGAATAACGCGGATACCTCCTCTTTAGTAGATCTTTCAATTAGTCTTTAGACAGAAAGGGGCTTTCAAGATAATTGCCAGAATTACTAAGTGTCTTATTTTGTCTTTCGAAAGGCTGTGGTGATTTTATTTAAATACAGTTGCCAGAATTGCCCTGTAAAAATCTCAAAAAATTTTCAACGATAACAGAGAAAATTCTGCCCATCATACATTTTTATTTATGTGCATCTGCTGAATAAATACTACTCATAATAATTCACTCGAATACGTCTTTTCAACAAATTAAACAATGCAGTGCAATCAAACAATTAAACAAGTCGCTTGAATTACTTACTAAGAAGCTACCGAGCATATCAAGTATTATTAGCGCAGTCAACAAAGCATTTCGAAAGAGAACTTGTAAAAATTCTTTTTCAAATAATTGTAATGCCTTACTTAATAAGTTTTTTTCCTACTTTTCATTCATGCAACGACATAAAAGTCATGCAGCTCGACGCAACTATTCATTTCCGCTTGTCATTCAGGTAGTTTCTTCATTTGCAATTTTATGGCATTTGCATAGTTATTTATATGAATCAGTACTTTTGCTGTGTTATTTGACATTATAGTTGTTTTTTTATTTTCAAATTCTTTTTTACTTATTTTCATTTTTTTTAGTTTTTTTTTTGTACATGAAAGTTTCAATTAAGTTGAGTCATTTCCATAATTAGTTGGTAAACTGCGCTCCGACACAAAGGTCATTTGGCACGACGGCATGCAGCCAGCCAGACCTGGTCACTTTTTTTGCGTCTTTCTACCATCCTTACGGTGACCATTCGTACCGATTTTGGCGGGACAGTATCGATTTTGAGAAAATTGTCC